CCCCCTCCCGGGCCCGCAGCGAGCCCCGAGCCCCCGCAGAACCGAGCGCGGCTCCCACCTGCGATGGCTGGGGCCGCCTCCGAGCTCTGCTGCCACCTCACCAGTGGTTCCCAGTCATCCCCTGTATGATCCTGGTCACTCCCAGTGTGTTCCAAATCACCCCCAGCAGGAACACAGTTGCCCCCATCATGATCCCAGTGGCTCCCAGTCATCCCCTATATGGTTTCTTTCACACTCTGTCCCTCCCAGTAAGAACCCAGTATGGCCCCAGTCACTTCCATTATGAAGCCAGTCACACCTTCTATGATGCCACTTGGACCAACTGTGATCCCAGTTGCTCCCAGTTCAGTGTCCAGTACTGGCCCCCAGATTTAGGAAGGATCTTGAGATGCTTGAGGATGTCCAGAGAAGGGTCTGGAGCACAAATCCTGTGAGGAGCAGCTGAGGGAGCTGGGGGTGTTTATTCCATAGGAGGCTCAGGGGAGACCTCATCACTCTCTACATGTCCCTGACAGGAGGGGGCAGCCAGGTGGGACTGGGCTCTGCTCCCAGGGAGCAGCCACAGGACAAGAGGACGCAGCCTGCAGCTGCACAAGGGAGGTTTAGGCTGGACATTAGGAAGAAGTTCTTCCCAGAAAGGGCAATTGGGAATTGCAATGGGTTGCCCAGGGAGGTGGTGGAGTCACCGTCCCTGGAGCTGTTTAAGACTGGATGTGGCACTGAGTGCCATGGTCAGGGTGACAGGGCAGTGTTGGATCATAGGTTGGACTTGATGATCTCAAAGGTCTTTTCCAACCTGGTTAATTCTGTGATTCTCTGATCCTGGCCTGTGTGGCCCCAGTTTTGGGGAAAATTCCCCTCCAATTACTACAAACACCCCAAATCCTCCCAAGCCATAATTTTTTTCCCCCAGTGACAGTAAAATCATTTGGTTTAGATGCCTTTGTTCAATGTCTTTATTTTTATGACAATTTTAGATGTTTGAGGGATGAAAATGGATCAAAAAGAAATCAAGCTCAAAATAAAAGGAGTTACTTGTCAGCATCATGAGAACATTCATGGGGTTGGGTTCAGTGCATGGAAGAGCCTCTGTTAGAGGGGTTTCCAGGTTTTCCAAGACCCAGATCTTGGTCTTTGCCCCAGTCCATCAGCATTTGGCTGTGGAAGACACTCATGGCCAACGAGAATCAGAATCTTGTAATTATTGAGGTTGGAAAAGACCTCCAAGACCATCCAACATTGCTTGATGCCACAAGAAGAAAGGCTTGAATGGAAGAGCTGAGACTTTTTGGGATCTAAAGTAAACAAATCCACTCTTCTGAATGAATTCCTGATGTCATTCTGAGTCTTGGTGGAGGTTCCTGCCCCTGCCTTCATCCAGGTACCTATGGGGAACCAGGAGGACATGGAGATCACCAGCCAGGTGTCTTTTCAAAGGGGATCATCCAGAATGGGGGTCATCAGGTCTCTGCCCAACAGGAGTCATTGGAGATTATCCATGATAGGTTCCATCCATGGGGGATGGAGTTGGAAAAGCACACAAAACTCTTCCTGCACTTGGGGCACTCGCAGGGCTCCCCTTACAGATGGGTCCATTTGTGTGATGTCAAGGCAGAGCTCTGATGGAAGCTCTTCCTATACTTGGGACACTCGTAGGGCCTCTCCCTGGTGTGGATGCACCGGTGGATGGTGAGAGTGGAGTTACATTTGAAACCCTTCCCGTAGTCAGGGCAGCAGAAGGGCCTCTCCTCCGTGTGTGTTTTCTGATGCCTGAGGAGATCTGACCTGGTCCGAAACCCCTTCCCACACTCAGGACACTCGTAGGGCTGTTCCTCACTCTGGGTCTTCTGGTGGTCAATCAGGCTGGATCTATGGCAGAAGCTCTTCCCACACCTGAAGCACTTGTAGGGCCATTCCTGGGTGTGAATCTTCTGGTGCTGGATCAGGTTGCAGCTCAGGCTGAAGCTCTTCCCACATTCAGACATTTGCAGGTATGGTGGCATATATGGGGGATGAGCTGGGAGCTGCAGCTGAAGCTCTTCTCACATTCCAAGCACCTGTAGGGCTTCTCCCCGCCATGAAGCTGCTTGTGGACCACCAGGTTGGATCTCTGGATGAAGCACAGGGGAGGTCTTTTCTCCTCAGAGCACCCTGGGATGGGTTTGGAGCCTTTCCACGTGGGGGATCCCTTTGGGACTTCCTCCCTATTGGATCCTGCCCCTTGGAGCCGCTCAAAACGGCCTCTTCCACGAGGTTCTGCTGCAGGGATTTGTCCTCCCTGGTCTCCATCTGCAGTTCAGTGCCTGGGGGAGGAAGGACAAGGGGGGTATTGCGGGTTAGGTGTCCTCTTTTTAGTTCTGGCTCACCTGTGGAATTCTTACCCATTAGTTGTGGGGAAAACCTGACTGCGAGTACTTGGTGAATGCTTGAGAAAACACAAAGAGTTCGGCCGGGCCCAGGGGTGGAAGGGGGCCAGGAGAAAGGAGGGCAGGCTTTTCTTCAGCTTCGGAGAAGAACACTTTGAGCGCAGAGCTGCTGCGGTGGGGAGAAGGGAATTTCGCCATCACCCAGACGCAGCTGCTGCTTCTTCTCCTTCTCCCCTCTTCGTTGGTGACCTCGCACCCCCTGTCCTGCCGGGACACGTGGCAGTGCCAGGCACCACCGCAGAGCTGCTGATCCACCTCAGCCACCGGCCCAAGATCTCTGCTCGTCCCTGCTGTTCCAGCTGACTGTTCCTCAGAGCCCTGCAGGAGCACTGGGAGTGCCCGAGGGGGTTTGTGAAGCAAAGCCTCTCCTCCATCCCTTCCCATCTCAGCCAAGAAAGCTGTCATGGGCTCCCCGGTTCTGTTTTCTTGCTAATGCTGTAGTTACTGTTGTTTGTTTGCCTTGTTATAAATATTAGTAAAGAACTGTTATTCCTATCCCCAGATCTCTGCCTGAGAGCCCTTGATTTCAGGATTATCATAATTCAGACGGAGGGGGTCTACATTTTCATTCCAGGGGAGGCTCCTGCCCTCCCTAGCAGACACCTGTCTCCCAAAACTGAGACGGGGGGAACATGGAAGGAAGAAGGAAAGAACAAGGATAGGAAGGAGGGTAGAGAAGGAAGAAGGAGAGGAAGGGACAAGAAGAAAAAGGCAAGTAGGAAGATGAAGGAACAAGAAGGGAGAAGGAAAAGGAAGGAACAAGAAGAATAAGAAACAAGAAGAGACAAGTAGAGGGAGGAAGGAAGAAGAGGGAAAAGGAAAGGAACAAGGAAATTGAATAAAAGTCATGGGATTTGCCTCCATGCCAGAGGGAAGGGGAAGGAGATCCGTGCAATCCGTCCCCGGCATGATAGCATCAGCACCAGCATTGTCCTGCAGCCGAGGGTGATGCTGGGCTGGGAGATGGCCCAGAAGAGAGGGGGAAAGGGACAGTGACTTCCTCCTCACCTGCCTGGCAGTCCCAGAGCATCTTCCTCACTGCCTCCTCCACTTATCCGAGGCTTGGGAATGAGAAGTCCTGTTTTGGGTGCAAAAACAATGGGTGAGCACCTAGGGTTGGGGATTCCTCCTTCCCAAGTCCATCTCTAGAAGTCAACAGGTATCTTGCATCCATGAAAACCTCCAAGACATCAAGACTCAGAGGAAAAAAATCCCTCTCTGAGGTTCCTCCTCTCAGTTGCCTCCACTGTGGGGTTCTGGGGGTCCCCCTTGTCCTGGATGCTGTGGCTCCTGCATATATTGGAGGACCCTCCTCTGCAGGGTCTCTGCCTGCTCCAGGCTTCCAGGGAATCCCAGAGGTCCCCTCCTTTGATCTCCCCACTTTGGGATTCTGGGAGTCCCCCATCTCTGGGCTGCTGAGGGTCCCATGGGTCCCCCTCTCTGGAGCTGCAGTAAGGGATTGTGGGAACCAAATCAGCTGGGATAGATCACACCTTGGACCAGGTTCCTGACACAAGGGAAATAAGCCTAAGATCATGGGAGGTGGGATACTGAAACGATGGAAATTAAGATACTACTGGGATCATTCCATAATAGGTCATGTCCCTGGTCCACGCTTGCAAGTGGACCCTTGCCCTAAAAGTACCCCTATGTATTGCTAGGTTAACCGCATCCGCTGGTTTTTGGATGCAGCACCTCGGACCATGTAGTCCCAATGAACATTAAAATCTATCTTTGGGCACTCCAGCACACCCGTCCCGATTTATTCCACCACATTCGACCTGGCCGAACTGGACAAGACATCTAAACCTCACTATGACACGGGACGCTGAGGGTTCTGAGGTCCCAGGCGTCCCTCCTTCCCTGACTGTCTGCTCTGGGGTGCTGGGGGTCCTAGGGGTCTCCCCTCTCTGGGGTCCCCATTTTGGTGTCCCAGGGGTTCCCCCTCTCCAGGCTCCCCTCATTCCCGGCTCTCAGGTTCTCCCTTCTCCAGGCCTCCATTTCAGGCTCCGGGACTCCTGGGGCTCCACCCTTTTCGATTTCCCCAGTCTCAAGGCTGCTCCTCTCCCCACTGCTGGTACCGGGCGATCGCCACGTGGCTCCAGGAACCTCCATCCCCCACCCACTGCCGGGGCTCTGCCGGCAGCCGCCACCGGGACATCCCCAAAAAAACACCTCCCGGGGTGTTTCCCCACCCAAAGGGGATTTCGGGTCCACTTTGGAGTCCTGCAAGATCCAAACATCGCTCCGCCCGCCCCGTCCCGAAAAAAAGAATCAGGGACCCCCAAAGATACTTCGGGTGAGCTCCAAATATCCCCTCCCCCCCCCTTCAAACAAATTCTGCCAGGACGGCCCAAGACCTTCGGGACGAGGTTCCCGTCCCCGGTGAGCGGCGGGCTGCGGGGCCCGATGCTCCCGGCGCGAAGGGGCTGCAGATCCAGAGAGCGATGGACGCACCTGGGGCCCTCTGCTGCTCCTCTTGCAGTTCCTGCTCCTCCTCTCCCCCTCCTCTTCCTCCCTCTCCTCCTCCTCCTTCCCCTCCTCCTCCTCCATCTCTCGGCTGCTGGCGAGGAGCTCTGGGGGTGAGCAGAGCGGGGCCGGGAGCCGGTGGGAAAGGGCTGGGAGAGGGGGATGAGGGGAGTTGGGCCAGGGGGAGAGGGGTTCTCAAGGAGGGGCTGCCAGTTAAGCCCAGGAGCCCCAAATCCCCTCCGTGTCCTGCCAGCCCCTGCCCCCGGCGCTGTGGGGGCCGGGCCGTGCCCCAGTGCCGGCTCAGGGGGT